TGATAACCTTGGAGAGAGGAAATGAAAAGGCCTCCTGATCCCGAACTTCACCCCTAAATTTTTGTCCAAGGAATGAGGAGAAAAATGGGTATTCGAAGCGTGTATACTCCGAATCCCTAAGATGCGCAAGCTGCATACGTTTGCTGAAAGTGGCGGTGGCTTACCATTCCGGTGAGGTACCTTCATTTTTGCACAACTGCCATCATGTCTTTGGAGGAATCAAAAGCCAGTGCCGTACCACAACAGTCTTGAGGCAGTAAATTTTTTTGCACGCTCCAGATGAATGATATGCAGTCGCAGAGGGAAGGCAAGAAATAACGAGCGATGACTGATTAACAAGCCTAGGACATAGAATGCAGCTGAAAAGCATGTTCCAAGATTGGGCGAGACATTCCTTCAGAGTTTGCTGATTCCACCGTGTTCATGACCATCAATAGTATTTACCACGTCGAGCTCCGGCGTTAAGGCGAGGATGGGCTGAAGAAGAGCTAATCTATCGAATCGCAGTTTTGACAGCGTCTGTTAGCGTGCAGTCATTCGCCGCACCATCGCCAGCGATATAGCTAGGCTCACCATCGCAGCGATATAGCTAGGCTTCCCCTCCCCACCCTCCCCTCCGTCCCCACACATACCCACCAGCGTCCATTCGATTGTGCTTCGGTCGGTATTCTTGGAGTGGGAGCATGCTTTCGGTAGTATTCAGTGTTGTCTGTCATGAAGGTAGGGAATTCCAAAAGTGTAAGTGCCTTTCAATCCATTACCGGGTCTTTTTATATTTCTGCTGATCACGGGTTTCTGGAGACTTTTGGATAGTTCACAGGGAAGACTTTAATAAGGTACCGAGAAATTTATGCCTCAACCTAGTAGTGATAGTGCTCCCAAAAACCCGATGGCTCTCAGAGAATTTCTAAAAGTATAACATTTTCGGAGCGGTTCAGCTTCTAACAACTTCCACCATGAAACTAGGCGCAGATGAAAAATGCTTTGTATGAAAGCACCTGACCATCATGTCGGAGACAATCATGCGCGATCCCCGACAAGTAGACATTCTGTGTCGAGAGTGACTCTTCGAGAATGAGAAGTCTTTATGTGACTTCTGCTTCTGCTCTTTATGTGACTTCTGCTTTCTTAGACCATTCTCCGCATCGCACGAAATGAGAACTTGTTTCAGAATGGCATTTTAGCGGTTTCCTCTGCTATTCTGTGAGCATCTACTGGTAATGGCGGAATCCTTCTCTGTGGCTGCAATATGACTGAATCCTGTAGAGGCGTCGATCGTTCTGCAGTAAGGCATATTGCAGCCACAGAGAAGGGGTACCTGTCTACACTTCTAAGCGAATGCAACGTTGGGGCTTTCATAGAACATCCACGTGAAATCGTAGCTCTTCTATGAAAGCCCCAACGTTGCATTCGGTTAGAAGTGTAGACAGGTACCCCTTCTTGGTGAGAGTGGTTTATGGTCTGGTGAAGGCAATTCCCGCGACAGCACTTTATGTGCAATACAGTTCAAAAACAGAATTGCCGTGTGCTTGTTGATCTACTGGAGCAAGAAAAGCTCCA